CTTAGGGACCACGGCCTGGCGACTGTGGAATGGACATCCTGGATCCACCATTTTAAACCAGCTCCCTTGGTGCTGGGCTTGGATGGAGAAATTCTGCGGCCCGGAGGGCTTTAGGGGGAGGGGCTGCTAAGGAGATCAGGGTTGCAGACGGGGCTGCCAGTCCTCCCTAGCTGTTTGCCTAGGGCAAAGTCACGTGGCCCTTCTGAGCCTCGCTTGTCTCTTCCGCGAAGTATAGTCCCTCTCCCAGGAGGATACTATGCAGGTGAGAAGCTGAACCTGGATCCTGATGCTTGCAAGTCCAATTAAAAAAAAAAAAAAAAAGTTGGACGAGGAGCCGGATCTGGACCCCTGAAAAGGGGTCCCTTCCCTGTCTCATCTCTCAGGACGCCGTCTGGGTCCCTCCACGGACGAGCGGGGTTAAGTGAGGGCAGAGGGAGCGAATGATTTCAGAGAAACCGTCCAGGCCTGAGTTCCCATAAACGCGCGGGCCGCAGGGGGTGGGGCGGGGCTGGAGGAAGTGGGGACGGGAGGGGCGGCCCTGCCCTCGGACTTCCAGTAACAGGTCTGAGGGGCGGGGCTCCGCTTCCTGCTCCCGGGGGAGGGAAGCCTGTCCCGCCGGGGATCTACCCGGCCACCCCCGGCACCCCGGCTTCCATCCTCCAAGGGGGTGGAGGAAGGGGAGCTCAACTCAAAGAGACCTCACTTTTCTGGGGAGAAAAACACCAAGGTTTCCAGCCTGGGGCCCCCCCTGGAACTCCACCCTTCGGGGTTCAGACTCCAAGTGGCTCCTTGTCCCTTATATCCCAGCATCCACCTCCAGCGTGTCTTGGGACCCTAGCTCTTGGCTGATACGGACTTTCCAGTCTCCATCACTTCTAGATTCCCAAGCTGCCCTGCACCCTGTTCCATACCCCTCAGAGATCAAGGGGTGCAGTGCCCCCTCCCTGGAATCAGTACTCGCCTTCCCCCCTCTCTTGGAGACCCAGATTTCCGGCTTGCCCCTGCCCAACCTCTTGGGGGTCCAGACACCCTGAGGTTCTTGCTCTCTTCAGTCCCTAGAAGTCTAGCCTCCCAAGCAGGCTTTGTAACTTTGGGGGCCCAGACTCAGCGCGTCCTCCTCCCCCACCCCCAGGCTCCGCCAGCTGCCCATTCCGGTAAAGCCTCAGCCCCAGCGGAAGGGGTTAAGGTTAGAGGGAGAGCCAGGAGGGGGAGGCTGCGAGTGAGTGACGGGTGCTGACGTGGGGGAGGCAGAGCAGCTGGGCTGCGGTTAGGTTCTGCGGGAAGGGATTTCCCCGGACGAGCAGCTGAGGCAGAAGTGTTTGCTTTGGGGGATAGGGGGGGAAGAGGCGGGAGATGGAGAGTGCGTGGGAGGGCGGGTGGGGCACGGGAGTAGGTTCTCCTGCACCCTGCTTTCACAGGTTACAAACAACTTACCCCTGGGGGCAGATAGATACACATGAAACGTTTCACCGAGGACCCCAGAGGTAGCCAGCGGGGGAGGAAACTAGCTTCGTCCAGCCCTTCCTTTACCTCGGACACTTTCTCTGGCTTGGGCGCACACCGCTGCCCACAACCAGCAGGGGAGCTCTGTCCCAACTAAGCCACCCCCGTGTGCTGACCACCTACTGTGCGCCAGGCCTGGTTCCACGCACTTCACAGCTGCCCTGAACCCTCGCTGTGATAGACGCTGTTCGGAGCTGCGGGTTTCCCTATGGGGAAACTGAGGCTCAGGGGTGTGTGAAGTCCCCTTTACCACCAGCAGGGAAGCAGGAGTGGAGTTGCTCCCACCACCCAATCCCTTCCCTGCAGAGAGAGGCCAGTTCAATCTATCCCTCCCCGTGGTTCACCATCCCCAAACCAATTCCCCCAGGCAGACGCGCTTTAGAGAAATCATCTCATTTCCACCTCGGAGACCCCTGCTCACTTATGGTTCCCGGTTGTTGTTGTTGTTTTTTTACAGAGGGAAACTGAGGCAGAGAGGGGTGAGAAAGTGGCCAGCTGAGATTCAAACTGAGGTAGGTAGAATTATAAGCATGATGGCCACGTATGTTGGGTGGTTACTGCGTGCTAGGCCGTGGGCTAAACACTCCCATGTGGGATTTCTCAAGAATATGTTCTTCAAACTGCAGGTGATAAAGCCATGGGATTTGTCAAAACAATTTAAGGGATTGTCAAATTAATTTAGTGAGTTATGGCCACGAAACAATGAAATACTCTAGAATAGAGAATAGTAAAGTAGGTCCCATGTAGGGAGAGCAAGTATATTTTGTTTAGTGTGATTTTTATTTCAGGTTTATATGTGTGTGTTTGTGCTGGGTTTAATATAAAATAATAACCATCATAACATTAATAGCTATTGAGCACTCACAATTTACCAGGCTCAGTACTAGGAGCTTAACACGCATAATTCATATAATAAATCAATGAAATGTCTTTCTCATTTTTGGAGCATGATAAAAAACCTGAAGCCCCTTGCTCCAAAAAACAGGACTGGGAGGCCAGTGCTCTCAGGGCGCCCAGTTTCAGAAGGGGAAACTGAGGCTCGGAGAAGGAATGGGCTTTGCTCAAAGACACACAGCAAGTGGTGGAGCCGACCAGAAAGGCCAAGCTGAGCGCCCCTGTGCCGTGGTGGGGGAGGTCGGTGGAGGGCTGACCTGGTCTCCCCATTCCCACCCGCACCCCCCACTCATGGGGGGCTGTTACTCACGTGTCTCCGTCCTCATCCGCACGGGTGGCCATGGCGATGTCGGCTGACAAGGGGTGCTCCATCGAGTACACCATGGGGTAGTGGGGCGGAGGCAGGCTCAGCAGAGGGAAGGGGGAGCCCATGGTCGGGGTGGGGTACAAGGGCAGTAAAGGTGCTGGGCGGAGGAAGGACATGGGTGAGGCCAAGCCCACAGGCCCTCAACTCCGTCCCCGCTTCCAGGCTGTCCTTCCTACAGTGTCAGCTGCCCTTCGGCCTGGGACAAACCACCTTCCCACGTCCCATCTCTGGGCTCCCACAACTCCTTACCCCCACCCACGAGTTTGTGCCCCCCAGCCCGGTCACTCTCATTTTCACTCATCTTTTCAAGTTTCGGACCCCTTTCTCCGGCTAGGCAAAGAGTCCCTTAAGGACTGAACCCCATCGTCAGCCAGCAGAGGGACCTCGGGGTCTGTTTGCTGAGTGAATGTGTGGCTGAGGGAGCTGAAGTCAGGGATGAAGTATGGGGTGTTAGGTGGGTGGCTAGAGCACTTGGGAGGGGGTCAGCAGGTGAGGGGGGTGGTGCTGGAAGCCTGTTCAGATCACCTGGTCAAAGGGGGGACCCTGGCAGCAGAAAATCGGTGTCTACCCAGCACACAGACGGGGAGAGCTGAGGCCTGGGTTCTCACCCGGGGAATGGGAAAGGGCAGGCTGTGGCAGGGCCCCTGCCCGCTCAGCCCCAGGCTGGACCCCGCTGAGGTGGAAGGTGCTGAAACCGGGAAAGGTCTGGAGGCCCTGGGCAGGGCCCTGTCCCTTTGGGGGCCACTTGGGGATGGTGAGGTGGGCACAGCTGTGGCCAGGGATGGCCCCTCCTTGACATCAGGGATACAGACAGATGGGAAGAAGGGTGTTTGGCCTTATCTGTTGCCCCCTGATTCTTGAGGACCCCCATTCCTTACTGCCCCCAAGTTTCCTGGTCCCAGTATCTCCAATACCAGGCCTTGGTGGCCCTGAGGACTTCTGTCTGAAGACCCCGGAATCTTTTATCCTGGCCCTAACTTCTTCTTCTTTTTTAAGACTTTATTTATTTATTTTTAGACAGAGGGGAAAAGAGAAAGGGACAGACACATCAATGTGTGGTTGCCTCTTGTGCGTCAACCCAGGCATGTGCCCTGACTGGGAATCGAACCAACCACCTTTTGGTTCATAGGCCAGCACTCCAACCGCTGAGCCACAAGAGCCAGGGCCTGGCCCTAACTTCTTGAGTCCCAGATTTCCCCAGTCCCGTCCCCTATTATTAGAAGCCTCAGTCCCCAAGCCCTCCAATACCAACTGGTCTTGTGACTCCAGATGAAACCCTGATCCCTGCTAAACACACACAGCTGGGTGCCCAGAGGCCTGGACCCCTCTGCTGCTGGCCCGTCAGGACCCCAGGATCTGGGTCCGTTTCCTTGGACTCCTGTGGTGCTAGATAGACATGGGGGTGCTCAAAACTCCGATTTTGTTCTCCTAATTCCCAGAGTTTCCTGATGTCTTGGTTCTTGAAATTTTGACATCTGGGATCCCTAATATCCTTAGAACCCAGGCTCTATTCCTTTGACTCCTGAGGCACTGGTGCCTCACAAGCCTAGTGATCTATCTGGCTTCTGTAGAAGCGTTTGTCATTCTGTGTTCCTGAGACTTCAGGCTCTGCCTCCTTAATTCTCTGACACCTCAAATCTGTACTGACAGGCACTGTCCCCTGGGTCCCCATGTGGGTGGCATTCAGACTCTAGGCTCTGTCCCTCAGGGACCCCTGACACCCAGCTTCCTAGGACCCCCATATCTCTGCCCCGAGGCGCTGCTCCCTGATGTGCCCACATCTGTATCCCGGGGACTCAGGGCCTGCCCCCTGACCTCCCCAGGAGTCCCCTATGTGGGTTTTGGGACTTTGGCTTCTGTCCTCCTGTCCCCTCTGCTCCCCCCAGCTCCCTACAATTGTCTCTGAGCTCTGCACCCTGGCTCCGGTGACCCTGTGCCCTGTCTGGCCCCCAACCCGACCTTGACCAGAGAGAGACACTCACCCTGGTAGTAGAGGGCCTCTGGCCGGGCCAGGCCGTGGGGGGGCGCGGGGACCGCCGGCGTGTTGGAACCGCCAAGTAGGGGATCCGGGGTGACAAAGGGGCCCGTAGTGCAGCGGGGGACCGCAGGTTCTGGGGAGGGCGCGCGCAGTGGGCGCTTGCGGAGCGGCAGCGGGACGCCGGGGAATCTGGCGGCCTTGGGCCGGGTGCGCAGGTCCACGGGCCCCTCGTCCATGGCCCCCGTGGGGCATCGGGGCATGGGGCCGCCTGGGACGGCGGCCGGGAGGGCGGCCGGAGCGCAGTTCGGCTCGGCAGCACCGAGGGAGGTTGAGCCAGGCGCCGGGACTTCCCCTCTGCCGCTGGCTGAACTGAAGGGACTTTTGTCGGTCGGGGCGGTGCCGGCCGCCCGCCTCCACGCCCCCGGCCCCCCCGGGGCCACCCATCCGCTCCAGGGGTTTCCTGGACTCAATGCCGCTCCCGTAGCCCCGAGGATCAGCCCGCAGTGCGCCCCGCCCGAGCCGCGCCCCGCGCCCGCCCCTCTTGGCTCCGCGGTGCCCAGGGTGACTGCGCCTCGACTGGGAGTGCGGTGGGGGTGGGAAAGAGGCGGGGTCGGGCTGGGGGTCCCCCCCCCCCCCCAGCGACTGCAGGCCTTTCTCAGCCGCTGTCTCTGTGTTTTTGTCTTTCTGGTTGTATGTCTCTGTCTCTGCCTCTCTGCGGCTCTGCCGTCTGGATCGGTGTCTCCGAGTTTCTCGGTCTCTGTCTAATCTCTGTCCCTGCCTCTATCTGTTCTCACTGTCTCTTTTCATCTGTCACCATCGTTTTGGCTGTCCAGTGCTGTCAGTCTCTCCCCAAGGGAAACAATTTCATGACTCCCTGGGGTCGCTAGGGTGCGGGTTCGAGTCCCGACTCCCACTTCCTCGCCAGGTGACCTTGACCACGCACTTCCCCTCTCTGAGCCGTTTCCTCCTTTGTGGGAGCGAAAAGACGCACCCAGGGCCCGGGCTGTCCCGGCAGGCGCCAAGCACCATCCCTCCGCCCGCCCCGCCCCGCCTGCCCCGAGTGCTTCAGCAGCCGCGGGTCTGAACTTCTCAGGGGGTGGGTAGAATGCGGTGGAGGTTGCAGAGAAACGCTGAATGTGCCTCTCCCCGCCAGGTCCCTGCGCCCAGCCCTTGCCCCCAGCCAGTGCCCCCAGGCGCCGGGAATCCTGAAAATGCACAGAGAAAAAGACGTGGCGACAGAGGCACAGAGACCGTGAGAGACCAAGGAAAAGAGGCACAGAGAGAGACGCAGACCAGCCTCGGAGCGACCAAAGTCCAGGGCACGGGGATGGGGGTGGGGAATCTGGCTTCCCCTTCCCCCCGAGGCCCCCTCTCGGGCCGGGCGGGGTTGGTGGGTGAGGAACAGGCCTGGCGGGTTGGGGGACGTGACTCAGAAGCAGGCCGGGGCTGGGGGGAGGGGCGGAGGCCGGCCTCTGCCCGTCCCCGCCCCCGCCGCCTTTCTCCCCACCCCAGGGCGGGGCCCCAGCGGAGCGGGGCTTTCCCGGATTTCCCTGGGGGCGGGGCCGGCGCTGGGGTTGAGTCCGGGTCACTGAGCTGCAGGAGGCGGAGGGGGAGGTTTTAGGGACTCAGGAGGACAGGAGAGTGGGGGCTGCACCCCAGGCGGCGCGCAGCTTCTCTCTGTGCGTCTCCCCCGCCTGTCTGCTGCTCTGTCCCTACGCCCCTGGCTGTCTGCGGCCTGCCGTCTCTTTTTGTCTCCTGGTATCTGTGTCTGTCTCTCAGGCAGTGTCTCTCCGGGACCCCGAAATTGGGTGTGGGGTCCCCCGTCCCCAGGAAATGACTTTGCCCGGGACTTGGGCTCCACCCCAAAGGATCGTTGACCCTTTGTGAGGAGCAGCTATTGACAGAGAGAGGCCTGACCTCTTCCCTAGTCTCCTCTTTCTGTCTCTCTCTGGATCTCCTTCTCAACTCCCTGTAATGGGGGAACATCTCCGGGCAAGAACCGAGTTCAAATTTCCCCTCCACCCCTTGCTTCCTCAGACAAGTCCTCTTGAGACTCGGTCTGTTTTTCTGGCAACTGTGGCTGATGCGGACTCCTGCCTCGCGGTGCTGTGGGGGCCACAACAAGAGGAGAGCTTGGAAGTCCCTGTCCACCTAGCCTTCATCTCTGGGGACTTTCAAACACAGGAGGGGGGTGGGATGGAGAGCATGACCCCCCCAGTACAGAAAAGGGCAGCCGAGCCCCAGGGGGGCAGGGCTCATCCAGGTGGTGACCCTAGAAGCAGGATTGGAAGGACACCCAAGGTCCTCCCACTCCCCACTTGCTGGCATCCCCTGTGGCAGGTGGAGCCACAGCTCCTCTGGCCCAGGCAGGACTGGGGAGGAGGGTGGCTGCGTTTGGCCCAGAGCGAGGCTTATGGAAGGGCTAAGGGAGAGGGCGCTCACTGGTGGTTCCCAGTCTGAGGATGGATGAGGGATAAAAAGAGTCAGGGAGGAGGTTATGAAGGAGGAAGGCACCCCAGGTCGGAGAGGGAAGGAAATAGTCTGAGGGAGGGGGCACAGTCTGAGAAAGCCTGAGGAGGACCGAGTGAGGGCATGTACTCTGAGGGAGGAGGAGGAGAGAGCTGGGGGCAAGAGAAGGATCTGAAGGGAGGGACTTGGAGAGGGTCTGAGGGTGGAGGTGAATTCTGAGGGCACTGGTCTGAGGGTCTGACTGTGCAGGCACTGTCTGTGGGGGGCGGAGCAGTTGGACGTGGGCCTCCTCGGGGGTGGAGGGAAGGGAGGGGGCGTGGGGAACCAGCGGGGACTCAGGGGAGGGAAGCAAAGGGAGGCCTGGAGTCAGCCCCGCCCTGCAGCTGCCTCTAATTTCCCAGAATCTTCAGCTGCCCAGGAAAGTCCCAGCTCCCACAGCCACCTCCCTGAGTGTCGGGAATGGAGGATGCGGAACCTGGAAGGTTCCCCCCTCCTTTTCCCCCTGACACCCTGCACCCCAGGCGGGGAGGACTAGGGTCTCCCCTCTCTGGGCCTTGACCTGTGGAGGCCCCCTGCTGGCAGGGGCAGCCCCTGGACGAGTCCCAGAAACTTCCCAGAGAAGGCCTGGAAGTCCTGCGTGGGGTCTAACCACTTTCCCTTCTTCGGGCTGCCTTTTGTAAACCCATTCAGATCTCCTCCTCTCTCTGACTGCTTCCTCCCCCTCCGATTTTCCCCCAAGCCCCCTGGGGAAGGAAGGGCCGACATTGTACCTATTTAAGGTCCTGAGAGGGAAACGAAGTTCCAGCTAGAAGGCTGTGGGCTTGGGGCAGCTTTCTTGTTCTTGGGGCCTCAGTTTCCTTTTTTAAGAAGAGAGGATAGGGCTGTCCTGCTTTGCTTCCGGCTGAGGCCTGGATGCAAGTCCTGTCTGCTGCTTCCCTTAGCTGACTGACTTAACCTATAGAGCCTCAGCTGTCTGTAAAACACCCTGGTACACAAAACAGATTCAATCAAGAAAAGAACACTTCCATTCTACAGGGCCCGATGGATGGAAAGTGCTCCATGCAACGTCACTGCTCTTGCCATGGTTCCTCGTGTAGCCATATCGTCAATGAACCCGTTTTCAACAGCAGGACCCATTTCATGGAGGAAATCAGGATTTAGCATGTTGGGCTTAGAGACATGGGGTTGAGTCTTGGTTCTGCCCTGTATTCGCTGTGTGATCTTGGATAGGTGGCTTTCCCTTTCTGTGCTTTTGTTATGACTTTATAGTTGGGGTGATAATAGCTCCTGCCTTGTAGGATTGTTGAGCAGATAAAGTGAGACCAGGTGTGCAGAATGAATGAATGAATGAGTGAATGAATGAATGACACCCATTCTCATCTCCCCGTTGTTTGCCTTGACCCATCAGGCCAGGCCTTCCTTGTCACCCTTTTCCGTCCAGAGGTGAGACAAGATGGTTCCATTCACTCTGGGCCGAACTCCCAATAGGAAGTTTGTGAGGAAAATTCAACTAAAGTCCCCATGTTATGGAGGAAAAGGAAGCAGGCGCAAGGGGCGAGGTTACTGCCAGGGGTCATATGGCAAAGGTCAAGATCTTAGGCCAGGTCTCTGACCCCAGCACCGGGGTTCCTATACCTGTTGACCTCGGAGGGATGGTCATTAGTCCCGGAGCCACAGGCATCCCCTCCCAGCTCCATTTGAGACCCTCATTCCCTGGGGAGGAGTGGTCGCGGTGGGGAAACAGGCACAGAGAGGCCAAGTTCCGAGCCCAAGGGCACCTTGGGAGGCTAGCTCGGCTCACACCTCCAGGCCTGGGGTGGCTGGGGCAGGTAGATGGAGCGCTGGGGCAGGAGGGGACAGAGTGAGGCCTTGAGGCGGCTCAGCGAGAGCAGGTAAATTTCACAGACAGGAAGACAGACACCTTGAGTGAGGCCGGATAGGGAGGGACCTGCCCAAGGTCACACAGCCCCCCAGCTGGGCTCTGGGCTGGAAGACCAGTCTGGGTTTGCAGGCAGGTCTATTGCCTGAGTCTGCCCCTACCCCACCCCCGGGGGGGAGTGCAGGCCAGCTTCCTGGAGCACGGCTTGCACCTCTGGGTTCCTCCTCACCCTGGGGCCTTGGTGGCTACTGGAACCCCTGGCACCAAGCAAGATCAGCCCACTTGGGGATGAGGCCAAGACTTAATCTTCCCCTTTCTCCGTCTTGCTGGGTCTGCACGCACCACGCTGAGTCAGAGAATTGCAACTTCCTGCTTTGGGACTGGACACCGTGTCTGCCTCCCCCACGCACTGCCTTGATCAGACAGGGCCGATGCTGAGGGACGGAGTGTCTCAGAAGGTCAAGTGTAGGTCAGATGGGTCCCAGGAAGGTGGTGGTGGACAGTCAGGCAGCGTGATGCTGGGCCTTAGTGTCCTCGTGTGTAAATGAGCCTCGCTGTGGAATTGTGTGGGTTCGAGTCCCAGGTCTGACACTTTCCAGCTTTATGACCCCGGGCAAGTGACTTGCCCTCTCTGAGCCTCAGTTTCCTCTTCTGTAAAATGGGAGCAAAACCAGTGCCAGCATCCTAGGGTGGTTGTGAGCGGCAGATGAGTTAACACCCATTGGCACAGGCCGGCCCGGAGTAAGTTGTCTCAGTAAATGAAAGATATAATTTCTTCCATTATTAATCTATTATTAATCGAGAGATGACAGTGAGTGCCGCTGTGACACACTGCTCGGATCCCTTCAAGAACAGATTCTTGGCCCAGCTGCCAGGCACGGGGATGCCCGACAGCCTCCTGCATCCCCCGTCTTGCCTCTTACAAGGTCTGCCTCAGCTCGCCAGTCCCGGACACGGTCCCCTGGGCAGCGTTGGCCGCTGGCTGAGCCAGGCTGGGCAGGGGCTCTGGCAGCTTCTGCCCATTATGGGATTCCTCTAGCGGGCCGGGCCATCTCTGCTCCGGGGGCTCCCCCTTGAGCTGGCATCGTGGCCTGGACGTTCCCAGCCCGATCCCCTTCACTCCTTCCCTTTCTCAGGTGTTGCTTCCAGGAGGACCCAACCCGCCACAGTGCACTGGAGTCCGACACACCTGAGTGTGAGTATCGGCTCTGCTTGGGTGGCTTTGGAGCTGCTTCTGATCTCTCAGGGCCTCGATTTCCCCCTCTGAGCTGTGAGAATAATAGCACAATGGCTGAGAGGCTCCAGTGAATCGGCAGTAAAGCTGCTGGCCCAGAAGCCCGGGCATGGATGTGCTGATATGCCGTGCTCCTCCGTCCATAAGGAGGGAGATGAGCCTGGGTCTGTCTGCCTTCCCCTCTGCCCATCTGCACCTGTGGGTCGCCCTCGAGGGCTTTGCTCCCCTAGCCTGGCCAGTGAGGTGGGGATGGACTCCTCCTTCCCCAGGTGGGGCACTGGTGAGGCCAGGCCTGGCCCACTGGCACCGCAGCCCAGCGGGGCACCGCGACGTCTGCCGTGGACACAGAGGGAGGCGCTAAGGAAGGTGCAGGGCAGGCATGTCCGACCGACCCTGTGAGGCCCGGACCTTGGGCTGAGAAGTAAAGGGAAGTCCCAGGGCTGGGAAACTGCAGTGTCCTCTGCCAGGAGTTCCCCGATTCTAGGATACCCCGCGGAGGTGAGGCAGGGGCAGCCCCTGCCCGCTCTCTCAGTCAGCGAGGGAGGAGGGAGATTGCGTGAGACCGAACGCTGGCTCCCCCATCAGACCAGAGCTTCCCGAGGGTGGGAGGAAGGCCTCCGCCATCAGACTGGCCGGTTGTCAAGGTGAGGACTCGTCCCCATCCGTGCAGGAGGCCCTTGCAGGTTTGAATTGTTCTTCCTGCTGCACCAGCCCAGGAGTCCCCTGAGAGTGAGGGGTGACTTTTCCACAGATTAGATGTTTCTCCCAGTGGGTGATTCCTCCCCCATCGGGACTGGGCCCTTGGAACTCCCCCGGGCGGGAGGCCGCTCCTTAGGCCAGGCGTTCCCTGAGGATGCAGCAGCAGGCCTCCCTCACGGGTCCAGGACAGTGGCTCCCAATTGAGGGGCGGCACTTCCGCCCCCTCGCGGGGGACGTTTGGATGAGCACTGGAGGAGGCCAGAGCTTCTTGGAGAGCGTGAGCATGCGCCCTCCACCGCCATGCTAGACGCTCCGGCGGGTGAATCAGCCCTCATCCTGGGAGCGTGCATGGAGAGAGGGAGATCCTCTAGTCCGCAGCCCTGAAGCAGGAGCTACAGAGTACCCAGGAGCCGCCGGGCCGGCCTCCTGCACGGGATCGGTGCTGCTTTTTGAGCATTCCGTTGTGCAAGCACGCTTCCTCCGTCAGCCGGGGGGCGGGGGGGGGGGCAGAGCACAGGGCCCTTCCCCGTGGGAGGGAGCATCTTAGCCCAACAGCCAGTCTTTCCCCTGGACGTCTCTGCCTCCCAGCCCGAGGCCACAGCCTCCACTATGGCCGCCAGAGCCTAAAAATACAGGGGGGCAAAAGTCCCCCAGCTCCTGGGAAAGCTGAGGTCACGCCCGCTTCTTCCTCATTTCAGCCTGGGCCGTGCTGGGCTCGCCTCCCCGTCCCCAAGTCCCCAACCACGGTCCCTGTCGGGGTCATCCGTGCCCACCAACGTCTTCCCACCAGAGTGAGGACCAGGCAGGCGTGTCTCTGCGCTCCCCCACCCCCACCCCGCACCCCGTGGAACCGGGTCGGAAGTCGGGAGCAGCACCCGGCACTGCTGCCTCCCATCTGCGCCGCCCTGGGCAGCTGGCACATCCGAGAGCATGGGGCTGGCACCGTGGGTGATGGGTAAACAGAGCCCGACTGTGGTCCTCTGCAGGAGGCGGCGACGGTGGTTGGCTGGTGCCTTCTGCTTTGGACATCACCCACCTCTGAACTCGCCGCTCCGGCCTCCTGTGGTCACACGGACGCACAGCACACTTGCTCACTTCTGGGAAAATCAGAGTGCATCGCATGTTTCAGATCTCCATTTCTCTTCTTGCGGGTCCCGCTGCACCCTCCGGCCCGACGCCGAGGCCCAGGGCCTCTGCCCCTGGAGAGCCAGGCCGTCGGAGGAACAGAGAAGTGTGGAATCATGGGATGAAAAAATATATTCAAAAATTGTGAAATACAATGCGGAGAATTGCATAAAATATAATGTCACGTTGCACAAGCTCTAGTAGAAGGAACAGTTAGTTTCAGGTCAAGAGCATTGCCCTTTCCAGAAGCCCCTTCATGCCTCTTCCAGGCCTCACACCTTTCCCTTCCCTGAGGTAGCCCGTGTTCTTCTATGATTCCATCGCTTTTCTTTATATTTTTTGTGCCTGTGAAGGCATATCTGACCACAACAGTTTTGAATTTTTAATAAAGAGAGTCCTATAGTACAACCTCTTGGATCTGGCTTCTTCCACTCAATTAAAAAAAATGTTTATTGATTTTAGAGAGAGAGGAAAAGGGAGGGAGCAAAAGCGAGAGAAACATCAGTTGCCGGCCTCCCATATGTGCCCCAACTGGAGATTGGACCCACAACCTGGATATGTGCCCTGACTGGGAATCGAACCCCCAACCTTTTGGTGTACAGGACAATGCTCCAACCAATTGCGCCATGCTGGCGAGGGCTTTCCACTCAATTTGATGCTGCTGAAGTTCAGTCATTTTCTAGTATCTATTGGAGTGTTTCCATTTCTTTGCTGTATACTATTCTCCCACCTGGATCTGCAACAATTTATCCATCCCTTCTCCTGTTGACAGGCACGTGAGTGGTTTCCAGTTCCTGACTCTTTTGAACGATGCCGGGTGCATCTCCCGGTGCCCGGGAGCCCGCGCTTTCCTGCATCATCCACTAGCAGAATTGTTGGGGCTCAGGGTGCGTGAGTGTCTGGCTGTGGAAGACTCAGCCAGTCTCCCCATGGGCTTTCTCCAGTTTTCACTCCCATCTCCAAGGGCTGCTCTGAGTTCTACTTGCCCCACATTTTTGCCGGCACTGCATCTGGGCAGGCTTGTCACGTGTGAGTCATCCTGGCCTGCATGTGTGCGTGCATGATCTCACGGCAGTTCCAGTTTGAATTCCAGGCTCAGCCCACTGTCCCCTTGAATGGAAGCATAGCAGAGTCTTTAGAAGAAAATATTCTAGAACTTCAGACTCTTAGGGACAAAGAGTTCTGGAGTCCCAGGCTTGTACAAGTAAGACATTCCAGGACCCCGTGCCTGCTTCCTCTTTGTGTGACGGGAAGAACATACGTCTGTTTCTCAGACGGCAGGCGACAGAATCAAACGGAGTTGTATGTTCACAACCAGCTTGGAACTCGGTGGTAAACATGGTTTTCCCCAAGGGAGGAATTTCACCCATTTTGTTCTTTTCTGTATCCTTCACACCTAAAACAGGATAAAAGCTCAATAAATATTTACAGAATGAATGAGTCCCGGAATCAAAGGATCAAAAGATCAAATAAACTTGTAATTGTAGATCCTCAGGAGCAAAGACTAACAGAATTTAAGAAATGACGCCTGGCCAGGTCAGAGAGTCTTAGGAGCTGAAGACAAATGAAAATGCCTCCTTGGCAAACCGGAGACTCTCTGCCTTCAAGGTGTGGGAGCGAGGAAGCTCCACCGGGTCAGAAGGGTGTCTGGTGGGACTGAGGAGACAAGGACCCTGCCTTCTCACCCTAGGGAGCCGCCTCGTCTCCCCTCCCCCACTGGCCTCCTCCCGCCTCATCCCTCCTGCACATGTTGATGGATTCTGAGGAAGCTGCTCCCACCTTGGGCGTCAGCGGGAGAAAGTCCAGGCTCCTGCCCCGGAGGCCCTGCACCAGGCACCCGCTCCCTCCTGCCTTATCTCCTAGGGCTCTGCCTCCACCCGCACCCCTGCTGTCAGCAGCGCCTCTCCCACACACAGCCCTTCAACTGCAGCCTCAAAAATATGCCTCTTTCTCTGAGATCCAAGTCAGAGCACACAGTTGGTATACAGTAAATATATCGGGTCTCAGCTCAGGCAGCCTCCTCCGGGAAGCCCATCCTGGTTTCTCTTCATAGGCTGGGTCAGGTGTCCCCTCTGGGTTCCCCAACCGTTCTGGGATGTCACTATCTGTGTGAAACTGCGAGGGTGGGCCCTGGGTTGTCATCGTTGTATATAACCAGACCCTGTCCCAAACGGCCAAGACCTCAGGGAACGGGCCCGTTAGGCCCACCAGCCTTTTGTACAAGGCTCTCTTACAGTGCTCTGAATTGTGCCCCCTGACACCGTCCCTCTGGGACCCAGGGAAGGCTCTGCTTTCTTTTCTAGGTCAATGAGAGTGCCCAGTGGTCCAAAGGGACTCAGGTAAGGCCTGACAGTGCTCAGCCGAGGACCTGCCCTGCTGAGACACAGGGGCCATTGTCAGCAGCTCGGGTCTCTGTCACCAGCTCCACGCCGAAGGTTCATAAAGCACTTCTGTTTCTGTCTGTAAACGTCCCCCGTGTGCACCCATGGTGAGACCCGAGACTCCAGCAACCGCCAGGATACACAGTCCTTCTTCCCCTGCCTCCCTCCTCCCTTTATTCAAGGCACAGAGAGGTTAGGGCCTTTGCCTGAAGTCACACAGCCAGGGAAGGGTGAGGGGAGATGAGATTTTAAAAATCAACTTTATTGAGGTATAAGGTACATACAATAAAACACACCCATTTTTAAGTGTGTACTTTGGATGAGTTCTGATAAAAGTTTAGAGTCATATCATCATATCACAAGGCAGAACAATACGCCGAGGTTGCAGGTTCAGTCCCCGGTCAGGGCACATACAAGAATCAACCAATGAATGCATAGAAAAGTGGAACAAAGGTCGATGTTTCTTTTCTCTTCCCCTTCCTGTATCTCTCTAAAATTGACTTTAAAAACCCCTTAAAGGTAGAAAACATTTCCATCTCTCCAAATTATCATTCCTCTGCCCCTTTGTATTCAAACTCTCCTTGCATTCCCAGTTTCTGGCAGCCAGTGATCTGTTGTTGTTGTTGTTGTTGTTTTTAATCTTTATAGTTTTGTTTTTCCAGAATGGCATAGAAATGGGACCACACAGTATGTAGCCTTAGAAAAAATTACAACTTCCCGGGCAGTAACATGCACTCTTTTCAGCGGGCTGTCCCCTAGGCGTGTGACACGCATGCAGTAGTGGAGCCGGCCCCAGAATCCAAATGGAGACGACTTTTGTTGCTCCCAAAACCCCGTCATGCCGGGCCTCTGTGGCCATACCCTCCCCCTCGACCCCTGTCCCCGCCGGTCTGTGTTCTGTCCCCACTGCGCAGCCGTTTCCAAACGTCTGATCAATGGAGTGACGCAGTCTTTCGATTCCGGCCTCTCGCGCTCAGCAGCGCGCATCTGCGATCCACCCATGCCGTCCTGCGTGTGCAGCTCGTCGCCCTTCATCGCTGCATAATGTTCTAAGGCGTGGGCGGCCACGGTTCGCTGCTCCGACTACCGGCTGGAAACTCTCTGGGCTCTTTCCAGGGGCTGGCACTCACGAACAGAGCTGTTCTGGACAAGCACGGACACGTGTTTGTGTGGCCAGAGGTCTGCGTTGCTCTCGGGTAAATACCGGGGAATCAAACTGCTGGGTCAGAGGAGGAGGGCATGTTTCGCCTCAGGCGAAGCTGGCACGCTGTTTTCCGAGGTGGCCGCCCTGGCGCGCATGCCCATTGGCGGCAGTGTGAGCTTGCAAAACTACCCTGCGAGTCCGGCTCAGTGAGATGGGTCAGAGCCCTTGTCCATCCAGCCACACTGCTCCTGGAAAAAAAAAAAAAAGAGAGAGAGAGAGAGAGAGAGAAAACGAAAAACGATTGTGACAAAAGCTCTCTCCACCTTAGTCACCAGGTAAACAACTGCTTAAAAAAAAGAAAGAAAGAAAGAAAGAAAAAACGACGAAGGACTTCCTGGGCTCATGCCCCGCGTGATCTCCTAGAGGTGTTGCTAGGGGTAAATGCAGAATAGGATAAGAGGGTGTGCCGTCGGCATAAAGAAGGGACGGGGAAAGAAGTGTGTGTACATATTTTCTTGTCCGTGCACGGACTATTTCTAGAAAAAAAAACACAAGAAATGGGTAAGAGCGAAACTGGGAGGAGGGGGCAGGACTGTGAAGGGGCTGAGCAGGGGGGTCAGGATGGGTAGGCGACTTTCACTTCCATTTCGTGTTTTTGGGATTTTGAAACTTGCGAACGTCTTACCTCTTCAAAATAATAAACACGTAGGATCCATTCACTCCACCTACAGGTATTTCGAGCCTTGTTCCGATGGGGAACCACCACTCAGGTTCCAGCCCCGGGGAAGTCGGAGTACAGTCCTGGGGGCAGCCATCAGTAAGACAAGGAAAATAGGAACAATGTCTCATGTTTGCTGCAGAGAAAAGTACAGCTAGCTAGGGACCCAAGGGAGGAGAGTGGGGAGTGGTTTCAATAAAGCCTTTTAAAAAATCCAGTTCCCTGGCTGGTGTGGCTTGCAGTTGGTTGGGTGTTGTCCTGTAAACCAAAAGGTCACGGGTTTGATTTCCCGTCGGGGCACTTGCCTGGGTTGCCTGTTCAGTCCCCGGCTGGGGCACGTAGGAGGGGCAACAAATCCATGTTTCTTTTTCACATTAATATTTCTCCCCCTCTCTCTTTCTCTGTCTCTTCCCCTCTCTCTAAGATCAGTAAGCATGTCCTCAGGTGAGGGTAAAAAAAATAATCCAGTGGCCAAGGGAGGCCGCTGTAAGACTGACATCTGGGCAGAGATGGGAAGCAGGTGACGGAAGGAGCCACGTGGACATCTGGGGAAGAGTGTTCTAGGCCGTGGGGACAGCATGTGCAAAGGCCCTGAGGTGGTTTGTGCTGGCTGTCTGAGGCCAGTGTGGCTGGGGCAGAGTGAGCAAGCGGGAGGTGGGGGTTGGTGTTGCGCAGACTGCTTGGGTCTTGTGAGCCACTCCCGGGATGCTGGCATTTACTCAGAAGGAGATGGGAGCCATGGAGGGTTCTGAGCAGGGCAGGGCCATGATCTGACTCAGGTCTTAACTGGTTCCTTTGGTTGCCTGTGAGGGCAAGGACAGGGGCTGTGGGCCCAGTGAGTAGGTGACCACAGTGGTCCAAGCTGCAAGTTGCATGATGGTGGCTGGACCAGAGTGGGGAGTTGAGATGAGGAGAAATAACTGAATTCAGGGGCATTCAGGGGCTATTGTGAAGGCAGACACTGTACTACCTCTTACTCCTACCCGCCAGAGGGGCTGAGCAGAGACATACAGGAGAAGGGGGAAGGGGAGGACCAGGCCCGGTCTGTGGAGATCAGGGGAGGCGCCCCGGCGGCCCTGCTGAGACCTGAAGCAGGTGTTTGGAGGAGAAGAGCACAGGCGTCTGTTAGAAAGACAGAAAGGAC